CTCTGAGTTCTATCACTAGTATCAAGAGACAGTGAGGAAGAGAGAAATTCATTAATTCTGACACACACTACAGTGCAGATCAAACCAGAGGACATTATGCCAGAGGAAGTAACCAGAATACCACGTGGGTCCACACATATGAGGACCTCGAGTGGTCAGTCTTGTAGAGACAGCAAGGCGAATGCCAATTGCCTGGAGCCAGGCAGGGATGCAGGGAGGGGGGTTCATGGGTACCAAGGTTCAGTTTTGCACGACTGGAAGGCTCTGGAGACTGTGTGCATAACACGGTGAACACTATCAAGCCTGTTCAACTGTACATATAAAATGATAAGACAGCAAATTTTATGCTATGTGTGTTGTGCCACCATTGAGTTTTCCAGCTTGGGCCAGCCAGATAGCTCAGTGGACTAAAGCTCCGGTTCCATCCCCGGAGTGCCGTGCCAGCCCCACCGCCAGGGCACACTGAAACAGTGAGTGAGACTGGGCATGGTGTTGTGTTACACACCTGTAATCCCAGCCCTTGGAAGGCTGAAAACAGGAGGATCACTACGAGTCCGATCTGAGTAGTGAGACCCTGTAGACCCTGTGCTAAAATACATTTTAAAAAATGTTTTCCAGCTTAACCAATTATACTATTAGTTCAATAACTGAGGAATCAGGAACAACCAATAATTACATGTTAACGCATACATGCACACGCTTGTGCACGCACACACACACACACACACACATCCCTCTTCTCTGATTTCTTTCCTGAGAACTCCAAGGGGTCTTATGATTTTAAGCCAATATGGCTTCAAAGTATCCAGTGATGAGAGCCATCCAAATAGCTCAGCAGATTAAAGCACCTGCAAGCAGGCACAGGGGCCGGGAGTTCAATCCCCGGGCCTGCCTTGCTGGTCCCGCCCCCTGGGGGTGCTAAAACAGTGATTGAGACTGGGCGTGGTGGTGCATGCCTGTAATTCCAGCTTTTGGGAGGCTATAAACAGGCAGATCACTGAGTCCAATCTAGCAGTGAGATCTTGAACACCCTGTAGATCTTTCCCTTAAAAAAAAAAAAAAAGTATCCAGTGATTGCCTTCACTCTAGGCTCTCAGCCAAATCTTGGTCATGTCTCACTAAGTAGGTATCTGTTTTCTTTCAGAGACTCTAACCAAACACGAACCTCTGGGACAATGTGGACATTAATCACTCACAGAAGGGGCAGATGACTTTTGATCACTGGGATTTCTCCATAGCTGAGAATAACACTAGGAAGATGTTCTGAATGGGACAAGGATGAACAATGGAGACGAGAGCGATTCTAGAATGTGTTGTCTTTGGGAGAAAGTGAGATCTAGAAGGAGCGACTCCCCCAGGGGGTGGATGCACCGAGTTGTGTGGAGGGCACAGGGTGGGAAGAGAATCAACATGGGGCCGGGAGTGGAACCATAAAATGGCAAGAAAACCAGGAAGTACTTTGCAGACAGTGTTGTATTATCTATTTTATGCTGCTATAACCAAATTCTTGAGACTAGGCAATATACAGTATAATGAACAGAAAGGTACTTGACTCATAGTTCTAGAGCTGAAAAGTCTATGGTAAATGGGTCACATGTGGCAAGGGCCTTTTTGCTACAAGACAGGGTGAAAGGCATCACATGAGTGAGAGAAAATTCATTGCCTCCATCCCTTCTCGAATCAGCATGAACCTACGTATTAGAGTGCAGCCCTCTTCCTCATACCACCGCATTGGGTATTAAGCTCCCAACATGCGGGAGAGACGCATTCAAACCATAGCAGTGATGCTGCCATGTTCAACAGAACGCTGCCTTGCCCATTCACTGGCACCTGCCCCAGGAAAGAGTACCACCTCCTACTCACCTCACCCTGCACAGCTTGTTTGCTGCAAGGAGAAGTACCCAGAAGTCCCTCTGAAGGCCATTATTGAGTTTTGCACTGAGCTGCTGATTCAGTCAAATCTATGTCTAGTATGGAAGAGAGGGAATTCCTTGGAGGGATGGAGAAGGCTGAGGATGCTTGGGCACTGGTAAGGAGAAGCAGGCCAACTGCTATGGTCTGGATGTCCAGTGGCCCCCAGAGGTTCCTATGAAAAGGCTTGGTTCTCAGGGTGATAGTACCGTGCTATGGATTTTTAAGAGGTGAAACTGTAGAAGAGGTGCCTGGGTCACTGTAGGTGTGTCTTCCAAAGGGACTGTGAATCCTGGTCTTTCTGCTTTCTTTGTACTTTTTGGTTCAAGATGCCATCTATCTCCCTCTCTCCTCCTCCTCCTTCTCCTCTCCTATTTTCTCATGATGGTGTGCTACCAACACCAGAGGTCCAAATCCATAGGGCTGATTAATCTTCAACTTGAATATACAAAATCATAAGCTGCAACAAATCTCTTTACTTCATAAGCAGCCTGCCTTGGGTATTTTGCTATAGTGATAGGATCCTGACTAATACAGCAAGACAGCTGAGCTGCCCATTTGCTCGCTACTCCAAGAGGCTCAGAGTCCTTCACAGGGAGCAATCAGTGTAACCTCAGTGCAGGCCAATGTGGACCACCACAAGAACATGTAGGGAAAGAAAGGTTACAAGAGAGAAACTTCCCTCATTCACAGCTGCTGTGATGGCTCTTTCCCTTCACCAAAATCTGAAGCCCAGGTTAAACTTTTCTGGTGCTTTTGACTGGCCCTGAATGCACCCACCCACCCTCTCTTATCTTGCATGAGCCACATAGTTAAGGAATCTGCTCCCTCCCTCCCCACATCCTCCACAGAAGAGCAGCAGGACCTCAGCATGACAGCTGAGCAAAGCCACTCTGACCACACGTTAGCAACACTTGCAAAGTGAGACTCAGAAGGAGAGAAGGCATGAGCCTCTTCCAGGAGGATTTAAGAAGAAAGAAAATGTGATCCACCCAAGCCCCATGCTTTGGCCTAGTCTACCTCTTTGGCCCAGAACTTTTTTTTTTTTTTTTATTTTAGGGAAGGATCTACGGGTGTTCAGGGTCTCACTACTAGATTGGACTTGTAGTGATCCACCTGTTAACAGCCTCCCAAGAGCTGAGATTACAGGCATACACCACTATGTCCAGTCTCAATTGCTGTCTCAGTGTGCCACAGAGGCGGGACCAGCACAGCAAGCCCAGGGATCAAACCTCCAGCCCCTGTGCCTGCTTACAGGCACTTTAATCCGCTGAGCTATTTGGCCGGCCCTTGGCCCAGAACTTCTGAGGGACATGCTGAGATGCTTTTGGCCACCCTTTTCACTAGCTGAAAACTATACATTGACCACTCAGTCAAAATGGCATGCCCAACTGTGCTTTTGGAAATCACCGGTGCTGCATACACATATACACAGCTTTTCCCTCTTATGCTGATCTGGAAAATTCAGACATTCTATGCGCCAATCCAGGTAAAGTGATCTTAATCATGAATGGCCAAATCCCATATGCGTACCCCTTGTGCAACAGTGCTGGACTGAACATGCAAAGTCAAGAAGGGCTGCAGAAAGGCCAGGCCAGAATCACCCTCTATGACTAATAACCAGACAACTACAATCAGCATGGGTATGCAGAAGCCCCAAATGCCTTGGTGTTTGGCTGGGCATTCTTCTCCTCCAAACTCTCACCCATGTGCCCTAGAGTCACAGTTTAGAATTTCTATTAAATTTAGAGTGTTCAAACAAGCAGCCATGATCAAACATCTAAGCTTCTAAATGGACAAGAAACTAGATGTGTTACACAGCCCAGCGAAGCAACACTTTTCCAACTCCAGCTTCCACTCACCTCCATCATTACAGGGTGGCTACTCTCAACTCCTGCCCCTGACCTGCCATTCTCCATAGGATACCCTCTGATGCCCTGGGCATTTCTGCTCCCGCAGGACATTGCCTATGCCTTCTGCCTTATGGGAGGCTGTTCACAGTGCCACGCCGCCCTTCCCAATCTTGGCCCTCATCTCATTTCGCAGCCAGCTTCAATATGAGGTGCACACAGAAGTAGAAACCTACTTCAGTTATCTGGCTGCTTGGAACAAAACAAGGTTTGGGGGTTAAGATTCTTCCAGTTCCCTCCTAATTAAATATGAATACAAATAAGTATACATGAATATAAAATGCAATAAATCAGAGGCTGGAACAGGGGATACAAACTAAGTGAATATTTGCATCTCCTTTTGAAAATGGTAGCAAATGGCTATTTCCTGTTTTAGTCCTATAAAAGTGAAAAGCTACACGAGTGGGCCAAAGCAGCAGACAGTGTCGTGTCCCAACCATTACAACTCTTAAATGTTCTCAGATGCTTTTACAGTGTGTAGACAGCCTGATGGAAAGAAAAGCTTATAGATTTCCTCAGTGAGTATGTGTAGACCACCACTCAACTCCCCAAAAACCCTTTAAAATGCAGCCTCTTGAACTTTTTAATGACTAAACTTCCCCCTGCCCTGGAAAGCAGGCACACAACAGGCATGCGATATATCACCATTCACTGATCAATTTTGCATCTTCACCGTGGATGTGGGAGTGAAACAGCAAACAAGAGTTAACACATTATGCACTGGAAATGATTCGCTGAGAAATTAAGGCAGTAAAAAAATATTGCACAAGTATAAAGGTCACCCTGGCAAAGAAAAAATTATGTATGAGGAGACAGCTGCACTCAAATGCACACTGGTCATATTAGCCAGACAGTGTTAAACATTTTTTAAAATCAGGGTTAATCAAAGAAACCTTCTTTGTCTCTCAATTAATACAGCGGGAGGGGTTTAGTCTTCCATGGGGGGCGTTTATTCCCATTTTCTTTTCTTCCCGCCCCTTCGAATATAATCCACGCCGTCCCCATGGCCGAAGTGCCTCCCCACAGAGCGGAGGAGCGCTCCGAAAAGCCCTTGCTGAGCTGCTCAGCGTAACTTTGTTCTCCACATGGTCTATTTAGGAGACTTGGCTTCCTCGGGTGACTCCGCGGCCTCCCTCGCTCTTCCATGCCTTGAACACGAGTCGCGGGCGCTGAGCGTCTTCAAGGCGTCCGGGAGGCGCTGGCCGTGGTCCTGACCTCCGAGCTCAAGATGCGAGAGCGGGCAGTACCGGAGGAGGTGGGACTGCGAGCGACCCTCGGAACCCCAGCCCCTCCCGACCCCCAGGGAGCCCGCGGGCCTTCCCGCAACCCCTCCACTGCGCGCTCCGAGCTGCATCAGAAAAGGGTGGGGCACCCAGCCGCGGCTGCAATCGGAAGGCGCCCGGGAGGAGGATTTAAGAAGAAAGAAAGCATGGTCCACCCAAGCCCCATGCGCAACGCCCCCAGCCGGGGATCAGCCTGTCCTTTCCACCCACCCCCCAGCTCCCAAGCCCAGGGAGTCGCGGGCAGCCTTTGTGGGCGCACGGCCGCCCACCGTGAGCCTCGCCGCACCCTGCGAGAGGGGCGCGCGGGGAGGGCGCGTGCAGATGCGGAGCCGCGTTCCGGGCGGGGCCTAGGGGCGGGCACAGGGGGGCTCAGCTCTCTGCGAGGGGAAAGAGGAGAAAAGGGGCGATCCCCGCGCCCCGGCCTCGGCCTCCACCTCCGCCCCATACCAACCTGGTCATAGATGTTCTGCAGAGCTTCCTTGCCCGAGGCCCGCCGGATCTCCACCTTCCGGCTGGATTCAACAGATGGCTCTTCGCCGGGCCGCCGGCCCTGACGGGAGTAGGGCGACTGCGGGTCGGGCCCCAGGTGGGCCACGTCCCGCTGCTGAGCCACCACTTGCCCTGAGCCCCGGCCCACCGACAGCGAGTCGAAGTCGATGGTCTTGTTCTCCGAGGACCCTTCCACCGGGCAGAACATGCCACAAAATTTCTGCCGGGGTTTGGGGCTGCCGGAACCCAGGTTTTTAAAAAAGGCAGGGACCTCTTCGTCCTCTGCCGCCTTCCCGGACTGCTTCCTCTCTGCCATGGCGCGGGGGCTCGGGGCCGGTCCTCTGCGTCCGTCCGTCAGTCCGTGCGTCCTCCGGGTCAGCGAGGCTCCCTGTCCCTGGGCACAAACCCGTGGCAGCTGCCTCGCCGCCCGCAAGGTGCACAGAAAGGAAGCGGGGCTGGCGAGCAGCGACCCACCCTGCCGGTCCCTCCCCCTGACCTCGCTTTCTCCCCTCCCCGCCCACGCCCCCCGCAGCAGCCGCGCGAGCTGGAGCGAGCGGCAAAGTTGGGTCTGGGAGCGCGGTCGCTGCGGCAGCGGGATCCGGGAGGGGCGCGGCGGGGCGGGGCTGGAGGGGTCGGGGCGGAGGAGCGGGGGAGGGGAGCCCCGCGCTCCGGAAGTGAAGCACAAGTCCACGGGCTCGTAGATGCGTGGCGTTGGGCGCGCTGACCTCGGCCAGCGCCCGGGTGAGCACGCGCGGGGAGCTGGGTGCGGACCCTCTCCACCCAGCGCAGGTGGGGCGAGGGCCAGGGCACACGGGTGCGAGCTTCATGGGTGGCGCGGGACACCCTGCCCTGGGGTGAGAGAGGGGCGGTGCGTGCAGTGCGGACAGGCGGCGCCATCCGCAGGGAACCCAAACTCTAGTTAAGCCTCGAGAAACCGGGCGCAGCCCGAAGGTCCTCTTCGAGAGCAGCCTGTGGCCGGGGAGTGGGGTGCACAACATGGCGCGGAGGGAGGTCGAGGAGCGCGGGGGTCAGAGCGGGCCGGCGAGGGACCGAGGCCGCGAGTGTGCAGCGCGTGGTCGCGAGCACGACCAGCGGATTCCAGCTGTGCGCGACAACCTCGGAGAGAAAGGGCGCAGACCCTCCGTGTGACTGCCCGGGAGCTGAGCAGCGAGCTGCGTGCTGCCCCAAGATGGGACCGAGGGTGTCGTGATTGGCACGTTCCCGCGCCGCTCCTCGGCCTTTCCAGAGCCGGTGTCCCGGAACCTGTCCCTTTGGCCACGCTGCAGCTCGCACCCCATGCGCCCTCCGCGCGCACACACACACACACACACGAAGGAGAGGATGTAAGCGGATCAAAGCCCACGCCCGTTCTATGCTGCCAGGCACCCCGCCCCTGTTGCGCACTGCGCCAGAGCCCCGCGGATTCGAGAGGGGCCCGGCGCGGGGTTCAGTAGGAGCAGTGTGCCGGTGGGCAGGGGCGGGCAGGTGGCAGGGTGCGGGCTGTACGGTGTGCGGTGAACTGTGCCAGGTCACTCCGGGCCACGCGGGAGAGGACGTGTGGGGCCAGTGTACTGTGCGGGGATATAGCCAAGACCGCTGTGGGTAGCTCCTTGGGCGGGCTGTATGATCCGTGCAGGGCCTTCCCTTGTTCTTGTTCATCTCTACATCCGGTGCACTAACGGCCCAGTCGCAGGTCCGTGGTAGCCCCACCTCTATCCAGCGAGGCTGAAAGCTACAGAAACAATGCCCATCCTTTGGCTGGAGGTCCGGGCATGCTCAGTAACACGTGTGGGTTTGGGCCTACGGGATCCAGGCAGGGCGGGTGGGGCGCGGGGGGAGGGGGTGGCTCGCGCATGGCAGTGTGGCCAAGAGTCCACTGCCCTGGTCAGTCCAGCCCCCAGAGAGAATTAAATGGCCACTGCCCTCCCACTTTTGAGGGAGAATTGGCTGAACCGAGTTAAATGTGAAAGACTTCTGGTCAGTGGAAGACTTCCGCCCCTCAGTAGGGCGGACACACTTCCAGCTGGGCTGAGAGGCCAGGCAGACATCTTCGACCTGATGTGCTTCGCATTTGAACAGAGCTCTTCCTGACCAGAGCCGGCTGACACTCCTGCTTCATCACCCTGGGTCCCCACACTAGTAAAGAGGTCTGGAGAGACTGAGGGTGTGCCCAAGATCGGTGTTCCAGCTAACCAGGAGACAATTCCAGGGAGAGTCTCCAGTTCCAAGACTGATCCTTTGTATTTATGTGACAAAATACAAAGTTCTTACTTACATTTGTCCATAGCCACACATTCCTGTCATGGCCCTATTGTGTACGAAGGACATTTATTTCTCTCCATTTTTACAGAAGATCCCTTGCAGGTGAGATCACCTGTGGGAGAGTTCTTCCTCCTGCTTCAGTGCCTTCTTATAGCTCCAGTCTTCTGCTCCAGTGGGACAAAGGTCACCTGGAGAGAAGCCTGGGAAAGTTAGCATCCCAGGTCCTGGGGCAGCATGTTCCCGCCTCACTCTGTGGACCTCCCAGGAGGACTTTGGAGCTGCTGTGTGACTCGGGCCTCCACGCAGATTTTCAGGTGGGGGTGGGGTGGGGTGGGCAGTTGTAGCACACACCACGCTCACTGGGGGGGGCAGTCACTCACAAGTAACAATGCTGCAGTAGCCCACAGGAGGCCGAGCTACAACAGTCTCCTGTGGTCACCGCCCCATGATGTCGCCCTGGGGTATGTGGTGATGATGTTCACAGTGGCCAGGAAACCTGTGAGATGTGCACAAGATCCCTGAGGCCTAGCGACCATAACAGTAGCAGGGACTGTTCGTCCCTCTCTAGAACAGCTCCTTGACACCTGGGCGGCCTTGTGTCTTGTGGCTCAAATGACTCATTAGAGCTCAAAGAAAGTGTGTTGGTGACTTTCTACTCATGGCCAAAGAAGTAGCCTGCTGAGCATTTGCAAAGACGCACCATGCAGGGTGCGTGCGTGATTCCAAACTTGACTCATTTGGCCCAGGAGGTCCTTTATTTATTTGCTTCTTTCTGGTACCAGGGCCTTCGCACTGAACGATAGTCCCACTCCCTTTAATTATATTTTTATATTGAGACAAGACCTCACCAAGTCACTAAATCAATGAGGGTTGGCCCCACTTGCAGTCCTCCTGCCTGCCACAGCTTTGTAGAGTCCTGGGGTTACCAGTGAGCACCTCACACCCAGCCCCATTTTTATAATTGTTGTACCTATAATAAGTTACTGTTTAAGTGTTTTATTGATTCTCCATTGGATTTTTTTTTTTTTTTCCCTGAGGTTTAAATCCAGGGGCCTGTATCACTGAGCTTCACTTTCAGTCCTTTTTTATTTTTTATTTTGAGACAGGCTCTCACTAAACTTCCCAGGCAGGGCTTGAAGTTAGTATCCTCCTGCCTGCATCTCCAGAGTAGCAGGATACAGGCATGTGCCACAGTTGATTTTTAAGTCAAAGAAATGTAACACCATCTTTGAGAAACTATTAAACACGATGGGTTGTTTCATGTTTCACCCTTCCTTACTTGATTATCATATTTTTTAGTAGGCACATTAATTTTCATCCTTGGATAGCAGTTAGGCATGGAAATACAGTGTTCTTATTTGTGTATGACAGGGTAACTTGGCTTGGCTGGGACGCAGACTCCAGACGTGCTTAGTGAGAGGTGGGTGACGTCTTCCTGTGCTGTGCACTGATATATAAGGTCCTCGACTCAGAACATTCTGGAACATATAACAGGCATGTGACATCTCCTTTTGTCCCCCTCAGGGCATATGAGTCATGAGCCTATGGCAGGGAGCCTAGATGGCAGAATCTCCAGAGAGTGAAGCAGGGAAGGGGCCTGAGAGTGGGTGGCAGAGCCCATGGAGCACCCTGAGGCCCACCAAAAACTAGAGCAGGGACATGTCTTGGGACTAGAAGGACCTCAGGTAAAATCAAGCATTGTTTCTTCAGGGGGCAAGGGCCTGAGACCTCTCCTGCATCAGAGTGGACTGTGCCCCCCACCCCGACGGGCAGACAGTCTCAGGATGTCCTGGGTGCTTGGCAGAGGCAGAAGAGTCTCCTTGCACAGCTGCGGTGGACTGTAGACCCACGGGCAGTGGCACCGTGACAGCCAGGCCAAGCCCTGCCCATAGGTGTTAGGGCAGTTGGGAAGGACTGAGTGCTTGGCACCAGACAAGGACAGGTTATTGGGCCAGAAGACCTTGAGAAAACTCCCCCATGGGGCCTCACGCAGGGACCCAGGCTCAGCTGGGCTGTGTTGAGAACCTCTGCATGACTTCGTCACTGTGTCCTGCTCGGGGATCTGGGGCATGCCGGTGGCGCTGCTCGAGGACTGGTGCCACAGGATCATGGGTGTGGATGATCAGAAGTCGCTGATGGTAAGTGGCATCCTGGAGGACTGTGGGGGGAGGATTGTGGGCAGGCTGAGACCCGGCATCCTGCCGGAGACCCTGAGGCCCGTGGCTGGCCCAGACCACCTGGGAAGGTCTTCTGGAAGATGCTAGTGCTCCTGGAGGACCCCAGTGTCTTAAGGATCCCCAGCGAGGTGCAGGGAAAGGGGAGTGTCTGGAAAATGATCTTCAAACCCCGGCTCTGAGCTTCTCGAAAGACTAAATCTCTTTCTAGCAAGAGGGGCAGACAGTGTCAGGGATGTTCTGACTCTGGGGCACAGGGAGGGTCTCTGGCCACTGTCCCCTGCATCTCCCCAGAGCTAGTAGCCCATTTGTTAGGACAGGCAATAGCACGTGCCCCTTGGCCCCTGCTGCCTATGCAGTATCAGAAGTTGAGAGTCTTCTCGGGAAGTACCACTCCTGCCCCAGAGGAGGAGCCCTTTGAGGCCCCCAAGATAGTCAAAGAATGGTCTGTCCCAGAGGCTAAAAAGAAGAGCAGGTTGTTGGAGAGCCTATGGGGTCCCGCCCTGGCCCTCCTGCACATAGTCCAGGCTGACAAGCCATGCACTGGCCTGCAAACCTTTCTGGATGCCTGCACACAGGTGTTCGGCAGCGCGGAGAGCTGAGCCCCAGGTCTCCCAGGTGAGGTGGGAGGGCCTACCAGGAGGAGGGGGAGAAAGCCTACGTGCTACAGGTGGAAGCCCTGCTGTAGACTGCCATGGCAAAGCGGGCCACTCCCAGGAACATCGCTGATGTTTAAAGGAATAAAAAAAAAAGTCCGCTGGAGCAGATTATGGCCAGGCCAGTCTCAGCAAGGGCCTCTGGTGTCACCTCAGGGAGCTGAAGGACCAGGAGCAACCACCCAGTTTCCTGGAGTAGATGAAGGTGATATGGAAAGAAGAAAAAAAGAGGCTTCCTTTACAAATGAGAATATTGGGAAGCCACAAAAAGGCAGTGGCTTGGGCCACTGGAAGGAAAGAGGACTGAAGGCCTGCTAGGATTGGCTGCCCCACCCCAGCAGGCCTGGGGACCTTCACTTGACTAGGCTGAGACCTTTAGGTGGTTTTTAGTTTTGTTTTTAATTCCTTTAATGTACAGGATTGAACTCAAGGCATTTGAGCCAACTCTTCGTTTTTCTTTCTACAAAAACAAATACCTGGAGTTTCGCATACCCTCAGCAGATTGTTAATAAATAAAAGATTGAATTCCAAATGTTAGGTATCCTGAAGAAATTGAAACACCCATACTTCTGGTTCATTTTAAATAAATACCCCCCAAATAGACGAAAATGTATTCATACAACAGAAGGGAAAATTAGCATCAGAAAAAACAGCTCTTTTGATGAGTTTAAAAGACAGTTGCCTGGGGCCAGGGAGATGGCTCAGTAGAATAAGCGCTTGCCTGGCAAGCACAAGGGCCTGAGTTCAATCTCCGGTTCCGCCAAAAAAAAAAGATAGTTTCCTGTTGAGGGTTTACCTGCCTCATTAGCAAATTCCTGCTGAGTCCTGAGCAGGGGAGACTCGATCCAAGAGTTAGAAAGCTCCGGCCACCATGCACAGGTAAGCAGTTCTGAACCGAAAGATAGGTGGGCTCTCAGGGAGCTTCCTGCCGACACGCAGAGCTACGTGGTCACCTTGTGTGTAGGGACAGGCGTGGAATGAAGAGTAGACCACCACCTCCTCCAGTTTCCTCCTTGTCTCACCTGGGGCATAGCCCTCCCACCTCCCTGCTGGGTGTCGCATAGATCAGGGCTCCCCAAGCCCCTAGAACTTGGAGATGAGGGGCAGGAGGAAAGGGGCCAGCGAGTGAGTGAAGCTTTGTCTGTATTTGTAGCTGGCTGCATCTCTCAGGCCACCCAGCCATCCCGCCACCACCCCCCCCCCAGCTCCAGCTCCACCTCCTGTTAGAGCAGCTGTGGCATTGAATTCTCATGGGAGCGTGACCCCAACTGTGACCTGCACACATGAGGAGATCTTGCTTGTGTATTCCTTCAAGTCATCCCCAAACCATACATATACTACCTCCCCCAGTCCCCAGAAAAACTATCTTCGTGCAGCCAGCCCCTGGTACCACAACCAGGGTTGGTACCACTGGTGCAGATGGCCCCAGAACCAAAGACTGCACCGTGCTCTTCAGACACAAGGGATGCAGCCCCGTCGCTACCTTCAGGAGGCCCAAGGCACAGAGGTGGCCTCAAGGAAGGCATGGACATCGAGGACAGCAGCACACACAGGACACGTGCATGTACCCATCAGACTGGTGTGGTTACAGAGAGGTTCAGAGTGGCAACAAAGAGAAAAGAGGAAAGAACTTGTAACTAGTGAGGGTCTTCATGGGGGAAGGAATTTCTAGTGTCTCACCGAATATATGCAGTACCATGCTCCTTATTTTTCCTTTCTTTCTTTCCTTCTTTTTTTTCTTCTTTTCTTTTTCTTTCTTTCTTTCTGGAGAGAAAGAAGCTGAAGTTCAGATCGGTTCAGTGGTCTCCCCAACACCAAAACACTAAGTGGCACAGCGTGGACAAAGGCAGAGACTGACTCAGGCTGACTTATTCCCCACGTTCTTCACGCTTTCGGGTTATGTTCTCAAAGTTCTGCAGACTTTTCGGCAGTCCCATCTTTCAAATGTGCTTTATACCTTTTAAATAGCTACCAAGGGGCCAGGGAGATAGCTCAGAGGCCTAAGTTCCTGCCTGGCAAGCACAAGGACCTGGGTTCAACCCCCAGGGCAGCATACCTTGCTGGCCCTGGGCCGAGACTACCAAATCCGGGTGTGGTAGCACAGGATTCCCAGCACTGAGAAGGCTGAGACAAGAGGATCACTACGACTCAGAGCTGCACAGTGAAACCCTGTACCAAATACAATAAATAAATACATAAATAAATAACAAGCTAACAAATACCAGTTAGACTCAAATGTGGTGAGGAGGAGCGTTACCACACAACAGCGACCAGCACATTTCCTGTTGTCTCCAGGTTGACCCACTTGCTGTGGCCCTTGTGCAAAATTTCCTGCCGGTTCTTTGCACCTGTCCAAACCTCCTCTATTTGTCTGTAGATTTAAAAGCTGTAGCACCTCATGGGAAGTTAAATCAGGGTCCTGCATGTTGTGTCAGGACAGTATGAATTAGCACCAAACACCTGTTAGTTATGTACTAGGCAAATCTCTGATCCAGTTACGTACAGCCTCGTGGTAGATCTGCACATACAGCACACAAATTGCCTCTCTTCTGAAAACCTCAGTCTCCTCATCTGAAAATGGGGTGGTGAGAATACAGGGCGGTTGTTAGGATCAGGTGGCAAAATGCCTGGTAAATGCTTCTGTCAATTTTTTAATTTAGCAGAATGTCGTTACAGTGAGACTCCAGGGATTTTCATGATGTTCATTGTCAGCTTAGCGTGTGCTCACTTTATTGTTCTTCTCGTTGTGCAGGGACAGGTGTGACTGTCGTCTTCCAGCCCAGTTGTGACGCCTTTGCATTTGTGATAAGTATCTAGCATGTGTTGATAGTTGTTAGTGACTTGACTTTAAAAACGTCCTAGAGTGTAGGTTCACTTAACTGAAGAACACTTCAAGTTATAGGAAAAGCACTTTAAATAAGGTATCATTAGGGCCGGCCAGATAGCTCAGCCGACTAAAGTGCCTGCTTAGGCAGCGCACATCAGCAGGGGTCACCCCCAAGGCATGCTGAGACGGTGATTGAGACTAGGTGTGGTGGTATACGCCTGTAATCCCAGTACTTAGGAGGCTGGAAACAGGAGGATCCCTACAAGTCCCATCTACGTAGTGAGACCCTGTAGACTCTGTAGTAAATATGTTTTTTTTTTTAAAAAAAGGTGTCCTTTGTAGTCATTTGTCTTTCTGGAGACTATTTCTCAATACGTTATTTTGCCAGAGTAATGTGACTGTCATCCATTATCCCTCATTTCATGTGGTTTTTTTGAAAATGACTTCATTCTTATCATTTATTGACATTCCACAAAGTAAAATGTTACCATTGTGAAGTTATAAAATAAATCTATGTTAATGAAATTCTGAGTTGCTCTTTCTGGTTTCTTTATTGTGGTCAGTGTAAGCTATTGTTAGGAGAAGGAGCTTCACTATACAATATTTTTTCACTGAGAAGTATTCAGGGAGACACTTTTATAAAATTAAGCTAAATCAAAAGGCTTTATCTCCTCTAGGCCAGAAAACCTGAAATGCTGAAATAATGGCTGGGCTGCATCTCTAGGGACCGGAGAGAGCTTGGCCTCGCCGCGACTGTCCAGACAAATTCCCCAGCTCATCAGCTACAGATGAAATGGCCCAGCGGCGGAATCTTGCATGTCCAGGCTGAAGTCAGCTTTCCTTACCTTGATGTGCAGGGAGGAAGTTTCTCCTTCTCCTTAAGTGTCTTGAAATTACCTCTCTTGGGGCTGGGGAGATGGCTCAGTGGAATAAGCGCTTACCTGGCAAGCGCAGGTGCCTGAGAGGTGGGCCTCATCCTACCCTTTCCTAAATCTCCAGTCCTGACCCTTGGAGACAGCTCTTCAAGATCTACATACTTCAGGTCAGCCAAATAGCTCAGCAGATCAAAGTGCCTGCAAGCAGGTGCAGGGGCCGGGGGTTCATTCCCCGGGCCTGCTATGCCAGCCCTGTCCCCAGGGTGTGCTGAGGTGGCAATTGAACTGGGTGTGGTGGCGCGTGCCTGTGATCCCAGGTCTTGGGAAACTATAAATAGACAGATCGCTATAAGTCCGATCTAGTAGTGAGACCCTGAACACCCTGTAGACCCTTTCCTAAAAAATACAGAAAAAAAAAAAAAAAGATCTACGCACCCTTGCCAAAAGTCACTTTTTACAAGGGGTACAAATTACAGACCAGGTCTTCAGCCACCTGCCTCTTCAGGCCTTGGGCATCACCAGGTGTTCGTACCTGCACCAGCCATTCCTGCCCAGCTTCATGTCCTGTTGGGTTCTCTGTCTAAGTGAAATGCTAGGCCGGCACCCAGCCTTGGCGTTACTCCTGTTCCCGTGTATGCAGTCCCTCCACTGTGTCCTTACCTGAGTCGCAGTCTTCCTCCCCCAGTGCTCTGCAGCCCAATGACCCCTACGCAGGAAGCTGCTTGGTCTCTCTCCCACCACCCCCAGAGTCTTGCCACCATCATGTTTGCACTTCAGACACATTTGCTTCTTCCCAAAGGGTGCTTGCCACTCTGAACCACCGGGGACAGTGGAGTGAGGGATCCTATGAGACCGAACGATGACAGTGGCCAAGTGCAAGGATGGAGTAAGCCCACCCACCGGGAGCTGGCTGGGTGCTCCCTAAAGTCAAAAGGAGCAGGAAGGAAGGCTTAATGACTCAGCTGTGTCTGTGGGAGTCCTACCAGACTGGGAAAGCAAAGAGGGCCTGAGCTAGAATTGGAAAAGCCAGAGTCTAAAATGAAAAAAAGAAGAGCTCAAATGAACATTGTCAGATGGGTCCAGGTGTGCTTGATATGCCACCAACAGAACTGTTCAGTGGGTTCTAATCACCTAGGATTGGGGCAGATGGCTCTCCCCCCTCCATATGTCTGGGAGCCAGGAATCCTTGAGTCCAAGAAGACTTGCACTCTGAAATGCTGCTACAAGGTGAAAGGATATGTCCACAGGTGGCCTTCTGAGAATCCAGCCTTCCCCCTGGGAGACCAGGTCTGAATAGTCCTAGCCCTGACCCCGGTGACCCCACTCCCCTCTGTGCCCAAGTGCTCCTTGACATTCCAAATGGATATTTTCTAAAAATCACTATAAATCCAGAAGTGTGTCCGAATCAATTTTATCAGACAGAAAAAGGTATAGAATTTCAGTCTGGCTTCAGGACGCCATCTGGAGCTGCCCATTAATTGTTAGGGTGGATTTAAGCAGCAGCTGAGGGTCCCCCCACCAAGTCTGCTTCCCCTCTGCCTTAGAAAAGTCACCAAAGGGGAGGAGGCCCTGTGCTAATGCTGGATGTCCCTATGGCAGCCCGTTGGGTAGGAGAA